CCGGATGATGGCTCGCAACTTGCCAGCCACATTCGGCAATATAACCAAAATATTGCAATATGGCCGAGCAATATATCCTGGCATTTCTTTAGTGCGGCAACACTGGCCGGCAAGTGGCCGAGAGATCGACCGCTTTGCGAATTTTCAGCAACATGGCTCAGCCATCTTTGTATTTGTCTCGCTTCACTTCTTTAGCCGCGCGTCATTCGAGTGTTGTTTTGTGGTGAATTTTCTTAATTTAAAATGACTAATTGGACTAACGAAAAGACTTTACATTTAATTAACGCTATACATTTAAGTCCAGAATTGTGGGATGTTAACAATGTTTTGTATAAACATATTTCGATTGCTTCCAACTATCGTACACTGGTGGAATCTTACTGCAGCGAAGATCCTCCCCTGTTTCAATCTGCAGAAACTCTCACAAGACGAAACTAAATGAAAAACACTAGCGAATTTATCTAGCTAGTGTCTTTTATTAAGTTAGCATATCTTTTGTTTCTGATGAAGTAATATAAATAAAAATATTAACTCACCTGAATAAATTCTTTTACCTATCACCAGTGCTCTGCATACTTCTGCGATTATTTATCAGTGAAATAGCTGAATCAGACACCCTAAATAAATACATCAAACTTTTGAAGCTCTCACCAGTTGCCAAGTATCTTAGTGTTATAGCTAGTCTTGTCGTAGTTGATATCGCTGTTCGCATGTTGGTATCCTGCTTTCGAATATTCGGTCCAATTCGATTTAGTAAAAATTCAAAATCCGTTTTATCCATTCTCGTAATGTTTTTGAATAAATAATTGTCGAGAGATAACTCTTCACTTAGATTTTGTAAAGTAAGCCTTTTACTTATAAGGCCTAACCCACAACTTTTTTCTTTTTTTAGTGTTCGGTTTCTTTTTAACACAATAATAGCAGCCGCAATAAGCACTAGATCATCCATGGTGATAAAGCAACTATTTGTGTGAATGTTGTCTAGTGTAAATGCAAATTTGCTATGGCCATATGTTGCAGAACGATGTCCGGACATACTCGTCCAGAATGTGGCCTGGCAATATGTAAAAATTCAGTTGCTGGGCCATGCTGCCCGGCTACATAACCCGGCAATGTTTTCAAAAATCTGCATTTTCTATGGCCCGTGTAGACGACCTATAAGGTATACTGTGTATACAATCACATTGTACGGAACGTTTACGAAACTGATATGGAATGGAAATGGAATGTATAGTGAGAATCAACCTTTAACGGGGCTCCTACAATCTCGAGTACCATCTGTTGAGAAAACGGGGGGGTGAAAAGGAAACGATGGTGGGCAGGTCTTAGATGGTTGTCGGCGCTACTTTAAAAGAGGAAAGGATGACTGCGGGTGCGTGCCGAGGTAAATTTATATAATAACAGAGTCGGATTTCGATTAGCGATCTAGTCCGTTAATCGTTTCCTATTTTGGTACTCAGCAAGTGATCATTTAGTATTGTTCTACCCTGGTTACTGTTCGTCGATATTGTGTTGTTGAATTGTTGTGCTGTACTCTTTTGTTGGTGTGATTGTTCTTGAGTGCCTTTTTTTATCAAGGTTGATAATGGACAATAAAAGGTCTTATGCGACAATTTTAATTACGAATGCAGTGAGCTTAATTCATGATGAGGACAACAATAATGTGGAGCAGTTCAACTCTATAATTGCAAAATACATTGGGGTAAGCGAATAAATTATTGCAAGAAGAGGTCATACCATGGAAAACGTGCTGCAGCTGTAGTGAGCCACAATACCGAGCGGCCTGTCTATGTGGTTCAAATACATTTGCGTGCTAAGCTTAGTCCAACCTCGCTTATCACTAAGATGGAACAAAGACTCAAACGCAAGAATCTTCAAAAGAAACTCAGACCAAAAAAAGCTGATATAAAAATAACAATTCGGATAGCAATTCCAAAGAAAATGAATAGTTTTATGGCAATTCTGTCTAAAACCTGACATGAACGACATTGATTTGGAGGTTGCTGAGCAAGAATTTTTAGGGAAACTTAAAAAAAGTGACGATGAAATTTTGCAGATCGAACAAGTCACCAAATCACAGGACTGTACTTTGTGGCGTCTTCATCAGAGGATAAGGTTGACAGCGTCTCGATTTGCTGAAGTTTGTAGAAGAAATCAGACAACAAGCTGTAAAGTTCTAGTAAACTCCATCATATACCCAACAGAGTTTTCTAGTAAGGCAATAAAAAAGGGCAATACAAAAATCATTGGACACATGGACACGGCAGTTCAATCTTGTGGTTTGTTTATTGATCGCACACATCCATTTCTGGCAGCATCACCTCCATCTACCTATTACAGTAGACAAGACATGTACTTAATCCAGGTATAAGCCTACCTATTTATTGCTTTGCAAAAACTACCTAACTGCTTCCTCATGTTTTGACTGCGTAGGATATTTTTATGACTCCCGTTCAATTGTTACCATCTACCACATGACAATTGTAAACATAATTTTGTTTATTGACATAAATAAACGAATTTGAATTTGAATTCTTGAATTTATTTTAGGAAATAATATTTTTGAATACATTTTTTCTTAGTCGGAACGCACCGTTACGACGCTTGGACTAGCAGGTTGAAACAGTAGATGAATTTCGCTCAAAAACCGATTTACACTTCACAGCTTACGTTTAATTTTTATTATTTCTAAATGAAACTCTTGCAGCGTGCTAAAGACAAAGTCCACAGGGTGCCAGCGATTCACTTTTTCGATTTTATCCACTAGGATCTTTTTAAAATATCAAGAAGTTGAGCACAAATAGTAAGCATTTCAACCCACCACAATTCTTGCGCAAAAACAAAATTTTGTAAAAAGCTCTGATAGCACCCTAGGCAATCATGTCCTGCTTATATCCAGAAAAACATCACAAACTGCAGTACACAAATTGAAGGTAACGGTGAAATGGGTACATTTCACGGGTCATGAAATTCAAATGAAAATGCAGGTATAAAATCTACCAAATTATCATTCTCAAGAACATATTTCCTTGACATATCGATAATTTTAAAGTTCCCCGCTAAATTCCCCTATACTTGACTGGAGTGATATCCGAATTTATTCTTCCCTACTGTCGGTAGTTGCAGTTCTGTTGGCTCTTGGTGTCAAACCTATAGAGCAGATACCGATTTTTTTCAAATCGTGAGCACATTATTCGTCGGATTTTCGTTACTTAAATTTTCTGTAATCACTGGGATCAAAAGCTTCTTAATAATAGAACGTGTTTCACTGATTTCAACCCCCCCCTTTTTAAGCAGTACAATTGTCAATGATTAGGAACCTCTGATACGTCAAAAATGGAGTTTCAGCAATTGTATTTTTCTTTTTTCTTTTTGTCTATAGCACCGTTGCCAGTGGAGTAGAACTAGAAAGCTTTGGCAGTATGGAAATTTCATAAAAATCCGAGCGGTAATTTCCAAGTTGATGATGAGTGATACAGTTTTTCGTGATGTAGATGCCATATGACGTAAAAAAACATAACATCTCATTTTAGAAATTTTCCGCGATTACAATACTTCCTCGCCAATGGCGTGGGAAGTAAAACGGCTTTAAGATCGAGGAGTATCAGAGATCGCGATTGTGAGTACCTATTTGCAGAACGAGTTATCTACGAGATATTGTATGAAATAGGGCCACAAATTATCTGAATACGTCCTTTCTTAGTCCGTACATTGCGCCGCAACCCTTGTTTTGGCAGCACCAAACAGTAGACAAAATTCGTCCAAAATACGATTTGTAGAGGTTTGCGCGCTTCGGAATTGACGCTTTATTTTTTGACATTTTTGAATGAAATTTTCACAGTGTGCTGAAAACAAAACCCCACAGGGTGCTATAGAGCCACTTTTTCATTTTTTTCACTAGGTTCTTTTTAAAAAAATCGCGAAGTTGAACAGAAAAAGTGCGCACTTCATCCCATCATAAAACTTGTGCAAAAACAAAATTTCAAAAAGTGCTCCTATAGCACCCTGGACAATTATCTTCTCAACATACTGCATAAATTTCATTGAAAAATATTGAAAAATAGAGTGTCAGTTTTGAAGCAGCTGAACCCTTGTAATTGGCCTGAAACTTACTGCGTCGGAGCCGCCTTAAGCTAACTCGTTTTGCCACTGAAATACAGGGTGATAACGAAAAAGTTCACTTTTTAGGGCACTGTCAGCCCGTACCCTGTATAAGATAGAAAAAAGGTGAAAACTGCTATAGATAGATACTTCTGCATATTCAGCGGCGTGCTCGAAAAATCAGAGGCGTCGTTCAAGAGCTATGACCCTAACTTAGTTTTTTTTATTAATGGATTATTTGCACTTTGGATATGAACATTAATATGAGTATGGAATAAAATGTGAGCAAGAAAATGGCACAGGTTCCTAAAAACTGTAAAGTTCCATCTTTAAAAATATCCAAGATACCCTGCAATTACAAGCAAACTGGAACACAGTGTACGTATTTGATTTTTTTTTTAAACAATTTATTTTAAAAAATATTTGATGAGTCAACGTTAACAATAAAAATCTAATACCTAATTGAGGCAAAAAAGTTTGTAATAAAGGCTAAAATCTCTTTTTGGTTTTCAGGCCATCAAATCAAAATTATGAAAAATATTTTGGTAATTAAGAAAACAGATGACGCAGTTCGGCCATTATCTCCACAACCAGATCCAAGCAAAGCGTCTACTTCAGTTCAAGAAGAATCCGAGGAAACGAGACCGAGTACAACAAGTGAATTAGACTCCACTCCTGATTCTGATAATTCAGTATCCAGTAAGATCCAGAGACCAACCAGCCTCGAAAGAAAAAAATAATTCCCAAAAATACAAGGCTGAGTGGGAGCAGCATGAAAATTTTAAGAACTGGGTGTGGATTAAAACACTGGATTCCACAAAAAGAAATGCATTGATTTATTTAACTTGATAAAAAATTCATACACACGACTATTTATGTCTGACTAATTCTTATGTCACCATTGACTGCACTAGACTTGTCTTCGCTCTGCTACTCCACCGTATTCCGTACTCCGCTTCCCTCTCGCGGCCGTGGGGTATATAGTCCGCATCGTTTGTCGGGAAGAGTCTCAACGTCCAAAGGAACATCACTCAAATTCCAACCATCCGATCAGCGGAGGAACTGGACAACGCAGTAGAGGAGCTGGAGAATGCTGTCCTGCGAGCGCACGAGGACAGCACCCGCTCCGAGACTACGGCAGTTCCTAGACACCTAAATGGTCCAGCACCCGCACCATATTAGGCACCTGATCAGGGAGAACAGAAGACTCAAGCGACAACATCTCCAGCTGTTGACAGAGGAGTCGAGAGTTGCGCGAAACAGAGCATCGCTAGCTCTGAAGAACGCACTCGCGGAACTCCAAAACAGCAGATGGAATGCAGCCTGTGCAGAACTAGAGACCCAGGATGGTACGGCCTGGACTATGCAGCGAAAATTTCGTCGTCAGCGCACCACGATCCCCACTCTTCACGGCCAACGCGGCTTGGCCTACTCCAGTGAAGAAAAAGCCGAAGCATTCGCCGATTCGCTAGAATCCGAATGCAGACTCAATTACCATGAAGACGAGGACGAAAACCACGAGGAGGCCGTGGAAGTCGCAGCCGACATCATGAGGAGTCGACCACCTGGCCAGGAGACGGATCACCCCTCCAGTCCAGAGGAAATCCGTCTGATCATCCGCAGGTTGAAGGTCAAAAAGGCGCCGGGAAGGGACGGCATCAACAACAGGATGCTGAAGAACCTTCCCACCAAAGGCATTGCTGCGCTCACCAACATCGCCAATGCCACTCTGAGACTTAACCACTTCCCGCGGCGGTGGCGGGAAGCCCAGGTTATAATGCTCACCAAGCCAGGCAAGGACCGGAAGTTGCCCCAGAACTACCAGCCCATCAGCCTGGTTTCCTCGATGGGCAAAGTAGTCGAAAAGGCTATCGCCGTTCGACTAGAGAAGCAGGCAGAAGAACTGCAACTTCTCCCTCCAGAGCAATTCGGCTTCAGATCCTCCCACAACACGGAGCTCCAAGCGCTACGACTGACAGAAAACATCACCAGCGGCTTCAATCTCCAGGAGGCAACCGGTCTCGTCCTGCTGGCTTGGCACGATGGACTCATCGCCAAAATGGAAGCCGCCGGAATCGATGCGAACATGTGCCAACTGATCCAGAGCTATCTAACACAAAGATGGTTCACGGTGAAGATTGGTACATGCCATTCAACAAGACGACAGCTGGAAGCAGGCGTGCCCCAGGGGTCAGCCTTAGCCCCCTGCTCTACAACATCTATACTCACGATGTGCTGAAGACAGCTGACACAATGCTGGCCCTATATGCAGACGACACTGCTATAGCCGCCAAGCATAGACGACCCGAGATCATCCGTAGGAGACTACAGGATGAACTGGACCACATCCAGGACTGGTGCGTGAAATGGAAAATCCGCATCAACGTCCAGAAGACGCAGGCACTCCATTCAACGAAGAAGGATTGCAAGACCTCTCGAAGCATCCATCTTCGACGAAGATATCCAGTGGAGCGACAAAGTCAAATATCTGGGGATCGTATTTGACAAGTCCCTCACCTGGAAAGCCCACATGGAAGCTGTCATCGCAAAGACCAGAGCAGCTATGGCTCAACTCTACCCATTACTGGGTAGACACAGCCGGATGCCGCTAGCGACCAAGCTACGGCTGATCAAGGCCATCGCCAGACCTCAGCTCGCTTACGCCTCCGCGGTCTGGGGGTACGCTGCCCCCAGCTACCGCAAGCGACTTGCTGCTCTAGAGATGAAGCTACTCCGGATCGCCACCAGTGCACCATCCTACGTAAGAAACTCAACCTTGCGTAGAGACCTGCATTGGGACACCATCCACGAGTACATGAGGAAAAAAGCGGAGAAGACCTTTGAGAAAGCTCAGGACCACCCGAACGAGCAGCTACGATTCCTCATGGACTACGATCCGGACGAGAGGCCTCGCAACCGCAGAACCAGGTACCCTAGACCAAGGTCCCAGTTGGCACCCGCTAACTGGAACCTTGACTAGGAGAACCCGCGGTTGCTCCCCCCCCCCCACGGCGTGGATGCAGAGGACCAGGAACCACCGGGACCAGGACCAACCAGGACCAGGACCCGCCACGACCAGGACCCACCAGGACCAGGACCCTTCAGGACCAGGACCAGGAACAATATATAGGTAAGAGGACTTGAAACCCTTGATTTTTCGAAAACAAGAGTTTCAAGAAAACCTAGCAGACCCTCTATCAATGATCGCTTAACGGCATCGATATAATGTGCGAGGTAAAGGGAACCAACCCGGCGTTCCCAGAGACTGAAACACATGAGGAGACGTTGTAGCAGACCGCAGGTCACGCACAACACATGGCCTACCGAGACGCTGACAAGTCGGGCCACGCGGAGGTTTAGGGTTTAGTGGGTATTAGGTGGTCTCCTCAAGACAACCTGGAGTCCCACACTCGCCGTAGCTCGGGCTATGGTATGGTGCGTAAACGCATTCCCCCCTTACCAAAAAAAAAAAAAAAGGAAGAGTGTGGCGGGCCCCAAAGCGCAAGTCTAGACTCTTCGAGATCACTTCGCGTCGATCTAGAAGGCGATCCACTGTCACGGTCCTCACAGACGCCGCCAGGCGGCTTGTGCGCCGTGGTTCGCGTGAAAGCAGAGATCGGCATTTAGGCTCTGGCAAGTAGAAGACTCGCTCAACAGATGGCGCTATTCGTCACAATATAAAAAATTTTACTATTATGGTTAAGCAGCCAACCTTGTCAAAAAAGTATATCAAATCTCTTCTGATAATATAGTAAAACAAAATGAAATTAAAATTACAGCTTTTATTGCCGAGCATAATATCGCAATAAATGTGCCAGATCATCTTAGCGAACGTATAAAATCTATTTGTATGTCTGGAATGGAAGGTAACCAAGCAAAAAAATGTCTGTAGGCCGAACAAAATGTATGGCAATCATAAACAATGTATTAGGGAAAATAAGTTTTGAAAATCTTATTAGTGACTCAAGTTGCCATACATTTTCATTATTAGTTGACGAATCGACAGATTTGTCATCCGGAAAACATTTTGCAATTGTTGTCCGGTACAATAAAAATTTTAACACAAAGGATCATTTTATCGGCCTTATTTTAGTTAAAGACGCTTCCTCGGCCCAAAATTTATACAATGTCATTATATGTTTTTTTTCGAAAATAAAATACGCGAAGTGGCCTCCAATATTCTAGATGTCTTTGTGGTACACCCGGCCTTTCTCGAAGCGGCAATTGGGACTATATAACTCGGCGGCCGGGAGATGGAGGCAGAGAGTACAGATTACACCAGTGCAGAGCGGAGTGGAGTATAGTGCAGTCAATGGCGACATAAGAATTAGTCAGACATACATAGTGGTATATAAATGTTTTATCAAGTTAAATAAATTAGGGCATTTCTTTTTGTGGAATCCAGTGTTTCAATCCACACCCAAAAGAACCCAGAAAAACGCTACAATACTTATTTAAATGCTTGCGTCTTCGGTTAATGATTAGCACAAAATATTAAGTAATTTATGGTAGGAATTCAAACAGCACAAAGTAATTCAAAAAGTAATTGTACGCCACAGACTCTACCACAGCTAATCCACGAAGTTGGAGTTACTTGGAATGAAGTGCCACAACCAGACATCGATCATCTCATTTTGTCGATGCCTAGACGTATGCAGGAGTGCATTCAGCTGCGGAGTCGCCCAACACATTATTTTTTTTCTTATTACTAGTCAACCTCATTGCCAAAAAATCAAGATGAAGACATTATTTTTCCTGGGTGTAACACTTCTAATATCACTGAGTATATCTCCAACAGTCAATAACGTCGTCCAGAGTCATAGCAACGACCATGTGCGCCAGTTAAAATTTCGTGCAGGGGGAGGTGGAAAAGGTCATTTAATTTTTGTCATATACATGTATGTTCGTAGCTAACTTTTTTCCAACAAGGGTTGATTTGTGCCGAAAATAGGCCTTTACTAGCTAATGACAGCGTTGCTGCGAAGTACAGATTCAGCTTGGTTGATGCCATTTTCTTAAAAAAAATGTCGATAAGATGTCGAGATGAAACTTTTTTTTCGTAAAGGCCGACATGTTGAGGGTATTTGACTTGTTTTAGATTGCAGTATTCTTTCAAATATTTTGCTGGAAACCCTTTATTTGAAGCTTATTCCGTATGGCCAGCTTTACGTAGCCGGCAAGCTGGTGCACAATTATTGGGGTTTGAAACTTTCTCCGATCTGATAATCCGGTATTTACCGTCTGTAATACAGATCTGTAGGTATACCGTTTCGCTAGAGATTCTCTCTGAAAAACAGTGGCGTAGTATCGAATCTAGGGACACCATGGGATTCCATAGGTAATTTCATCAGCGCCGATTAGACATCTCCAGGAGGCAACCTTTGGCATAATAGTAAAGCCCATATAGGGCCGTATCGAACGTATAGATTTATGCCGAATGAATGTATTGTGATAGTTACCTTGGCTAGTGATCTTTTGGTGGGTCTCCCCATTTATCGAATAAAAACGTAATCGTATATTTAGCAACACTGTGTCAAACGTGTTAGGATGGGATGTCGTAGATATGCTCGGAACACGACACCTGACACGGCATTTGACCATGAACGCCATCGTGCTTAGAGCACACAACTTCCGCTCGTCCTCGTTTCATGTTTCATTAATACATACACGTATCACCAAGAATTGATTACTGTGCGTCAAACTATCCATTTTAGTAGCCATTTGAAGCCGTCAAAACTTTGACGAAAATTCGGCACGCTTGGCAACCCTGCACATTATCTTGGGAGGGGATTCGGACCCGCGCAGCTCACGGCGACTAGGTTAGTAGACACATAGCGTTAACCACATCGCCATCGGGCTTGATGTCATGTTTGAGACTGTTTTTTGGACGACATCGTGAAAAACCATCCTCGCTATACCTTGGAAAGTAATGGTCGAATTTTGCTGTAAGCTTGAGACAGGTAACGACTATGCCAAGGACGAAGAAGCCTGAAAAGCATTTGACATTTCCTAAAAACTGATCATAATCAAAAACAAATTTTGTAGGGGTTAAAAATGGGGCGTGTGGGAAAGGTATATCTCAATTTTGTTGGCGTTAGTATATTTATACCCTGTAATTCTGTATACGTGTTGTTAATCCGATTTTTGAACTGCCTAAGGTTAGTAGAACTGGGAAAAGCTTCCTTTTGTAGATTGTTCCACAATCTCGACACCCTCGGGATCGGCCAGTTATGGATGTAAGAAGTTCGTGAGCATCAAGCATAAATAATGTAGTCGGGGCCGCAGCACCCCAAACGTGTTAGCATTACTCGAGGCTGGCCCTTATCTGGGCCTTATATAGAGGGAGAAGGACCAGCGGAAAAAAGTACTTATTAACCCTAAACAAATAGCCTAGCTTTTTCCCAGCAGCTGCCGCTATTGACGAGATGTGTTCGTGCCCGATCAGGTCCTCTGTGATCTGGACTCTGAGCAGCCAAAATGAATGGCCGTTTGGCAGAACTCGGCCATCCATCGAAACCGGATGAGCGCTAGGATGCTTTTTGTTCGTTATGGTACAGTACTGTGTTTTGGAAGCATTGAACTGAGATTGTTGCGTCCTCAATCAGGTCAGAGAGGAATTCGTCCCTAGTCTTCTTTTTTCCAGCTCAGCGGCAGAGATCGGCTTGTCACTCTGAATTCCTGCATGTAGAGTGCTGTCAACAGCGAAGCTGTGTATTGGGTTGATCCTGCAGGAAATGAGGTCGTTGATATGTAAGAGAAACAGTGTCGGAGCCAAGACCGATCCCCTGGGAACACCCGTGTTGACGTTGTGGGATGAAGAGGAGAACCCGTCAATTACGACGGATATCTTGCGGCCAGAGATAAAGTCAGCCACCCATGTGAAAAGCTTTTCTGATAGGCCATAGGATGGAAGTTCGCTTAAGACGGCAGCGTGCCACAGCAGATCGAACGCTTTTGTGATGTCAAGAGCAGTTGAGTTTTGTTGCCCATGTCCATCAATGCATTTATCCAGGACGTCGAGACACATAACATATGAAAAACACAGAGAAATTAACCGAAACCGCTATTTCACTTAAGGCATACATTCGAAGTATAACCAATATATTATATTGACTTGGACCTGTTGAGTTTTGGGGGCTCTGTCCATTAAGGCATTTGTTCAGGATTCCGCATAACATATAAAAAATTCATCGGAATGAACCCGAACCACTATTTCATTTAAAGCATACATTCCCATTATACCTACCCAATAGATTATACGACGACGCCCTATATCATGGAATTCGGTGAGTTTTGGGGCCTGTGTCCATTAAGGCATTTATTTAGGATGCCGAGGCACATAACATATAAAAAACTTAGCGACATTAACCGAAACCATTCTTTCATTTGAGGCAGATATTCGAGAAGGACTGATTACTCCATTATACTGACTCAGACGGCCTATATCTTGGGACCCGTTGGGTCTTGGGACATGTGCTCATTAAGGCATTTATTCAGGACGCCAAGACACCTACCATATGAGTAATTAAGAGAAATTGACCGAAACCACTCTTCCATTTAAAGCAAATACTTGAGTAGAACCCCATTATATCAACTTGGACGCCCATAACGTAGCGAGTGATAAGTTCCAAGAACTCTATCCTTTCCCTGATCCATTCATCATTCAACTGATCGAGCTTCAAAGTTTTAAAATGCTTCTTAAGTTCCGCAAAATCGCCACTCAGCCTCATTAGCGAAATCTGCCCGCTTCCCTTAGAACCTGAAACACTGCACGTCTTATCTTTTAAAGGATACCGCGACAAAGCATCCGACACTACGTTGTCAGGCCCGTTGCAGTATCGTATCTCGAAATCAAATTCTTGGATAAATGTTATCCAACGCGACAACCTTGCCGAAAGTAATTTCACATACATGATATCAAAAAGCTAAGTGCTTTATGATCTGTAATGACCAGCAAGTCTCGTCCCAGAACCAACGTGCGCGACAAACGAAAACAAGAGACAACCCCCCAAGCTTCCTCTTTCCGTTACAGTATAGTTTAATTGACTGCCCTTCAAAACGGAGCTCATGAAGCAAACATATCGTTTCACTCCCGTATCGTTAATCTGATAAAGACTACCCCCCCACGGCATATGCGGTAGCATCGCATTGAATATAAAAGTGCGCTTGAAATCAGGATGAACAAGCATCATGGACTTTAGGAAGGCCGACTTAATAACCCTAAAACTCTCCATTTCATCGCTTCCGCAGCGCCATTTTTCTCCTTTCTTCAGCAACTTCAACAGAGGCACGGTCAATTCGGCATACCCGGCGCAGAATCGGTGTTCATAATTGACCAGACCCAAGAACCCAGGCAGCTCTCTTAAGTTTCGTGGAACAGGAAAATCGGAAATATTTTTGAAACGCCCCTCGTCGTTTTCAATTCCCCTTGAGGTGATCACATGACCTAGAAAATGTACATTTTCCCTGATAAACTGACATTGCCTTAGTTTTATTGTAATTCCGGTATCACTAAATCTCTGAAAAATCGTCTTCAAATGCCTTAAATGATCCGCTATGTTCTCCGGGTAAATTAGTAAATCATCAACATACGCCTGCGCGAAATCATTACAGCCCTCCAGTATCTTATTTAAGCATCGAATAAGACTTGCCGTGGAAGTAGATAACCCAAATGGAAACCGACAAAAACTATATGTTTCACCCTCGAACACCAACCCAGATATTTGGTATGATCCGGCAACACTGGAATTTGCCAATATGCTTGCGTCAAGTTTATTGTGCTCATAATTTGCCCTGTTTGAAATTGGCCATTAATTCAGATGGATTGGGAGGATTCACCAAATCCTTGATCTTTGAGTTCAGCCCCCGAGCATCCAAACACACGCGAATATTCCCATCCCTTTTCTTTACGCAAACTAACGGCGAAATGTAGGAAGTTCTTTCCTTCTGAATAACACCGGCCGCTAACATATCACCAATCTGCCTTCTAACTTCATCCCGATAAACCATAGGAACACGATAAGCCACAAAATTAAATTCATTTCCATCCACTAGCTCAATTTGATGAAAATAATTGACGACATGTCCCGGTGTATCAGAGAATGGTTTCCTATATTTTTCTAAAATATATAAAAGTGATGCCTTAGCGGTCCCACCAAAAGTAGTTTTCGCTGCTACTGCCTGAATATCCGGATATCCGCCGCGCTGTATCCCTTGCTGCGGGAACCGACGCCGCCGCTATCAACGCTGTACTCTACCAGTGGCGTAACACAGCTTTATTTCCGTCGACATCAAACACATAATCATTTTTCTTGCAGAGGTTTACAGATATTTTCTGAGGATCAATCCGAAACGACAGTTCCGTATTTACTAAAACCTCTTCTATCATCAGCTTCAGCTGTGAATATGATAATCCAAACGTGCTTGATGCTCGGATAACCAATTTGATCCAAATATTAAATTGCACTTGAGTTGTGGAATAACCAAACAGCTCACATCCATATACAGGGTGACTTGTAATGTCACGTGTTCCTGTTAAGGGGTGATAGATTAGGTCAAAAGCAACCGATTTTGTCCTATCATGTCTTATCCAAAAGTTAACCATTTTGAGTTATTTGAATAAGTTTTTTATTATTCCGATTTCAGACGGTTAAAATTGAAATACAAGAAACTGCATGTTTGATTTTGAGTTTTTTGTTATCGTCGCATAGCAGACATTCCAATAGTTCATAATTATAAATGTTGAAAAACTACAAACGTTTTAAAATTACGCTTTTTAAATGTATCATTTTCTTTTTTTTTACTAACTTATTCGATAAAAAATGCAATTTTCTGTAAAAAATCTCTTAGTAATGAAATGTGCAAATTATGTAAATAATATCTCTATCTAACAAGCTTTCATTTGAGGTATTAAGCGTTCAATTATCTGAAGTAAATGCAGAGAAACAACAATGACAACCACAGAGGCTGAATTTTTAAGGAATCTGTATTACCTGCTTGTACAAGTCGTTACTGTCCTCAAAGGACTCGCATGCCATGATTGTTTTATGGCATCGGCTCGACGAGGAAGCGAGCGAGAAGAGCTGACTTAGTGGAGGAGTGAGAGACAGAGAGAGAGCTGTTATTATTCATCATTGTAGTTACGCCATCGCCGCACGCCGAATGAGAATTAGGTTTAGTTGGTATCAACTACTGCGTACGCGCACACGTTTTACGCACGATTATTTTTTCGAGTTTCCCAGTTCATTTCGAGTGGTTTCTTTATCATCATGGCAGACGCAGAAGATCCGCCAGGACCTCGCCACAGCGAGCACGGCAAACTTTTACAAATGAAATTAAATTATGTAAATAATATCTCTATCTAACAAGCTTTCATTTGAGGTATTAAGCGTTCAATTATCTGAAGTAAATGCAGAGAAACAACATTTTTGAACTATTGCTGTTGATACCTCAAAAAATAGCACGCCATCGCCTAGCGATTTGATCTCAGGTTTCAGGTATTGAGAATCTGTTTGGCTTAAACCCAAGAATTTGCGTAAGATAGTGGATGAGACCTTACGATTTATTCCTTAGATAGTTCGTCCTACATCACGGCTATTATGTAAAAAACCTGTAAAATGTAAAAAACAACGAAATGTCATCTTGCAGACTAGGTAGTTTTGTGAGCGTTGATCTAGGGAGGAATGACTCAGCAACGCGCATTGTTGGTTGCAGAAAGCTAATATACTCGTATGTTTTGTGAATCCGAGTAGTCTGTAAGTCTGAGAGAATGTGAAAGAAAGAAAGTTTGCCGAGTAGCAAGATCACATCTGGATGATTTTGTGTATGAGTCTACATGGTCTACATCTATTAGCCGTGCCCGACGAGTTATTTATATGTTGTCCTTTCTGTAGACAGGTTATATTCAAAGTTATAAATTACGGTAGTTCCCGTTTTTTGTGTTTTCAAAAACTTTGATTATGGCAAATCGCCACCGCGCCCGCGTTGTGTGCAATTAAGCCACATCACAGTAAAATTAGGAATGACGCATCATACTTCAAACATTTGCGCAGTGTCTCACATCTAGACGCTCATTTGTATTTTCTATTGACAGTATTACTGTCTGTAGGATATTTTCTCACCTGTTACTTCACCACCCAGGGATTTTCTTTTCTTTTTTTTCTCATTTTGAAAATCAGCAAATTTGCCAACGTAATTTCCACAATGATTTGACTGGTCTCATTCGAGAGGAAACTGTTAAGGTAACTCCTGAATGGAATTGTACTTGAAAAGGGTCAGGCAATGGAGTCCGAAAAACAATAACTGTAATCATGAAATTGTTTTTATTGAAACAAATAATTATTCTGAATACAATTTAACTGAAAAACTGAAAATCAAACAACATGTCACTGCTTCGAGGTATCCTCTTCCAAACAAATCCTCTTGTTACCAGTCAGCAAAAAACATATCAGGAGAAAAGTCCAAACCACTATCTTCCTTCTGATCAGTACTCGCGGTAGCAGGAGTGCTTCCTTTATCATCCGTCATCTGCATTTCAACCTTGGAATGATCTGGCTGCTTCTCAGCGAAAGCATTCAAAAGCACGTTTTCCGGATCGATCAAAGCACCAGCGTTATCCACTAGTTTACATGGTTCAGTGGTGATATCTACAGATTCTTTTTGAGCATCGCCGAATAGATCAAACATATCAGGAGAAAAGTCCAAACTTGGATCTTCTTTCTGATCGGTACTCGCGGTAGCAGGAATGCTTCCTTTAACATCCATCATCTGCATTTCAACCTCGGAATGATCTGGCTGCATCTCAGCGTATGCATTCAAAAGCAAGTTTTCGATTGAATAGCTCTCATTCAACTCTTCAGTGTCCAGTGAAGGTATCGCTACGTTGTTCTGATCGATCAAAGCACCAGCGTTATCCTCTGCTTTACATGGTTCATTAGATGTCTGCCGAGTCTGTTTGAGCATTGCCGAATAGATCAAACATATCAGGAAAAAAGTTCAAACTTGGATCTTCTTTCTGATCAGTTCTCGCGGTAGCATGAATGCTTCCTTTATCATCCATCATCTGCATTTCAACCTCGGAATGATCTGGCTGCTTCTCAGTGTGAGCATTCAAAGGCACGTTTTCGATTGAATATATCTCATTCAACTCTTCAGTGTCCAGTGAAGGTATCCCTACGTTGTTCGGATCGATCAGAGCACCAGCGTTATCCTCTGCTTTACATGGTTCATTAGTGATGTCTGCCGAGTCTGTTTGAGCATTGCCGAATAGATCTAACGTTTCCAGTAAAAGTGGTATATTTCCAGCAGCCGCATTGGTCATATCCTTAGTCAGTTGCAATTCATGAACCTCGCCTAATTTTCCATCTTCGTCCATCACTTGATATTGCTGTTGTGTATAGTGGACTGTATTTTTATTGATTACATTTATGTTTTGTTCAATGTATTGTATGTACATTTCATGAGAAACTGTCGTAATTGAAAAATTGTCTATACCGAACAGATTTTCTGGTTATGGTCAAAATGGTAGCTTCTTCCGGCCTCTCTCCTGGTCGCTCCGAGAGGAAGGCATCCCATTGGACCGTTCAAAATTCAACGGTCTTCCGGTCGGCAGTGGTAGGCTGCGCGCTGGATGGTGGCGCGCTCCTGCGGGAGATGGTCGAAACCCATTTTGCCAGTGGCGTAGCACATACAATTGCAGACCATCCTTCTGAAGATTCTGGAGCAATTCATCAGTAACAGGGACCAAGCTTCCATCACTGGTCTTGAACATTATCTCCACAATAGAGTTGGCTTCATTTCCGAATAGATAAGGAGTACGTTCTTCAGAGCTACTTGGCATGGTTAAATCAATGACATTGTTCGACCCTATTGGGTCAGTGGGCAAAAACGCTTGACCTGCACCAAATCCTGCTGTAGGATGCGGGAACTTCTTAACTGAGCTCTCCGTGCAAGCTTTTTCCATGATGGAAGTATTAGCCTGTGAAGCAGATGCGATCTCTTTTTTAGCAGTAGCCAATCTACTATCCTCGGTTTTCTCAACACATACCTGGCCTTCAGCTCCTATGCGGGACCTTTTCTTGCCTTTGTGGAGTTTGTATAGATCGCTGAAGGAGTTGATGGCCGAAGCTCGCTTGGACGGGTAACCACAGAATTTGAGCTTTTTGGAGAGAAACTGTGGCTTGGGAATCACTATCATGTCGTCTGAAAAAAAAAACAAACGTAAAAGGCGTCATTTGAAAGAATGACTTTTTGTAGCTGGTAATACAACGTCGCTTTTTAATTTAGAAAATTCCCAGCTGCGGAATAATTAAACGACGTATCAATATATTTGATAAAACAGTAAAAGCTAAGTCATCATTAAACGCGAATATTGGTTTATATAGTGCAAGGGTCCAAATTTGTGGCAGGGGGTCACAGGATTCATGTTCAGTAGAATTTTTGTCTCCGGTGGGGAAGGGGTGTGTCTTATTCACTGAACCATTCTGGGGTTTTGAAGTACAACAGCCTTATTTATTTTGGTACAGTTTTCTAAATTATGGAATCGTTATAGGTTCACTCGTATTGAAAATATGATAATTCTCATTACAGATCCATCATTAGCAATATATATTGCGGTTATGGCTAGTCCGTCTCTGGCGAACTAAATGAGTTAATAGTTTTAGTTGGCTCGTCGCTTATCTTCTAACACAGCGTAACTCAAAACTGACAAGTTTTTAAAAGAGCAAAATTTCCTATCGAATGACAAGCATGATATCGTCATTTTTTGAGTTACGATGTTAAAACTTAAGCGGTAATATATGACAATTATTTAAGAAAAATATTTCCAACGACGTTTCCTTTAGGGTCCTATTTTTCCGGAATCAAGAGGTGTTTCACAAATCGAGAGGATCAAATACAACAGTTTCAGAATACGAGGGATGTCTTTTAAGTTTTGCATATGGAAATAAAACAACACGGTAGGTAG